AAGGAGCATGGAAGTAATGCCCATTCTAGTCCAAACTTATATGAGAATATAGGATTTTGATTAGGAATTTTAAAGACTCCCTGCCTCCCTCCCTCTCTCTCTCTCTCTCTCTCTCTCTGTCTCTTATGCTGGTCCAAGGGTAGTCAGGTAAGTCCACTTTCGTGGAACAGATCTTTTTGTCATTCATCCAGTGATGGTAGCCCCATCTGGGATCTTGGCTTTAGGTAGGACTGTATTACCTGACCTATTCCACTTGGGCACAGGCATCTAACTTGTGGCCTATTGAAAACTCACGCCCTGGTCTCTCTATAGTCAGCAGAAACCCCTGAGGTAAATATTCCTTTACTAGCTCAAGCCCCTCCCCCCACCTCCACCCCAGAATTCTATTTTCTTCTAATTTCAACTCTTCACTGGTCTATTATCTCATGTTAGACTCTAAAGCAAAACCAAAATGAATGGTTTGGGTATTTTATCTAGTATTTTAAGTGCCTAAATCAGAAGAAGTTTGTCTTCACACCTAATCCATCATATTGTCAGAAACAGAAGTCCTCACTTGGTTTTTTCAACACTTATCCAAAATATTTGCCTGATCTGAGTAAGTGTTAAAATGACTAGCCATCCAGAATGTGTACTAAACAATAATGTCTGCTGGTAGCCTGACAACTTAATGACCTCAGTTGTCCCCAGCTACTGTAGAAGTGGCAGGGGCAGGGCAGCCTGTCAGTTACCTGATGATCGCAACCAGACAGAGAACTGGGTGCAGGCTAAGTAATGAGTACTGGCCACAAGCAAATGCCCTCCAGCAAACTAGGCTCCAATGTACAGTACAGCCCACAGTAACTGCTTATTCCCACCAGTTTTCAATAAATAGGTAACCTGCACCAGCAAGAGCTTTATATATTTTGGTAAGGGAATAAAAAAAATTATACAATTCTCCAGGAGCCAACATAAAATACGCATTTTTGAAAAGTTTATTCCTGTTCAGTGTTGTTATAGGAGTTTTCAGGATCGGTCAGGGTTTCTTCTCACATAATATGCTTAGATAAAGTCCTTCAGGGAAAGGAATGTAAGCAGTTATAATCTTCAATTAACCATCGTATCTGGGTACCAATATTTTCTAGGTCCCCAGGCGAAATAAAGTGCAGCTGTTTGAATTAGTATTCCAATTCTCTGCTTCGCTCTCATAGAGGAAACAGTCAATATACATAATGATCTTATAAAACGCAGGAAAAAGTGACAATGAAAGTCAAGGGAAAGTAGCCAGATGCTCCAAGTTTTCTAGCTGTGGAATGTTAGAGGAATCCAAGCTGCATGAAGACATGGCATTTTGTGGTAGCTGTTGCAGGAAACACCCTATGTAAGACTGAATCATATGAAGTTGTTAGTATTTGACGATTTTTGACCTCCAGTCTTAGAAATCCCATATAGTCTGCCTAATGTTTTGCCTTCCCAGTTAAAATTGATTCCTGCTTGCTTGGGACCTATGAAGTAGGGGCAAAATGGAATAGAAGCCATTCTGTGGCACAGTGGGACACTACAAGGTGATTTGGCAGACATGCTAATAAGAAAGAAGAAATGGAAATATGCCTAGTTTTCTCCCAGGGCCATCAGCAGATTCTCTGTGGTAGGCCAGCGGTGTCAAATGCTGGTTAGATGTTCACTTTTAACTGCACCTCCGATGCTCTGTGGTTCTTTTCAGCCATGCAGCCTTCTTCCGATTCCCTTTCTCCATGTGCTGTCTTTCTCTGTGGTGTGAATCCATCTCTATCCATTCTGTCATGCCTCCATTTCTTGCTGCCGCTTCAGATTGCACTGAGCCGTAAGAGGTAAGCTCCATCCTAAGAGAGGAACTTTGACTCCCCTTTACGTCCAGGAAGGATCCTTTGTCCACGGTGTTCCATAACCCAGCTTCTGAAATCAATATTTTCTGAACTACACTCTGAAAGATACGAGAAAATACCCCTCACAGCCACACCCACTCTAGACTGCCCTGAATGCTTTTTACACGCCTTGTGAATTCAGCACTCGTGTCTAAGTATCTTCTGCTAGGATGCGCATTGAAGTTCTTGGCTTTGTACCTCAACACCTCCCTCAGTAGCCTGTATAGTAATATGCACACTACAGTACCTCAGAGATTGGTATGGTTTACTGCCTTCTTGACAGTAGGCTCCCCAGGCCTGTTTTCATCCATCAGGCTCATGAGGACTGTAGTAAAAAGTCAATATTTGAATTCCTCTCTGTCATCATCCCCTAAGGCAGACAGTGACATTTCCAAATGTTCCTGGGTTTTGCAGTTTCCATGGATCAAATTCATCAGATAAGAACCAACCCTCCCCTTAATGCTGTAGAGTTAATGGGAATTATTTTCATATTGATCGTAATTCCATTTACAGACATAGATTAGGATTTCCTAAGGCCAGTAACTGAAAATATCTGTTTTATTATAAGTTTTTGAGAGCAGAGAATTGAAATTGCTTTCCATTCAAAACACCTTCACTTTCCTAAGCAAATAAAACCATTTTCTCTAAACAACGGAAGCCAAGATATATATGAAGCCTCATGTAGCACAGTTTGGGCTATTTATTGATTTATTGTTAATCCTCTCAGGCCATCTAACAGTTAAGGGCAATAAAAGGATCGTGTGCCCAACACATTTGAGTTAGGCTAAGTTTCGCCCTTGCTGATCCTGATGGAGCCAGGGTTCATAACATAATGCTCTTCCCAGCAGTGTTGTTTCTGTCTTCCTGTCACTAAACAATAAACCCCATCGCTTCGTATTGGGAACATGTCAAAATGTGTCAGAATAAGAATAAATTGCCACACTCAACTTCCCCTGCAGACTGCCATTCACTTTTAGGGACAGATGTTCCAGCCTTTTCCAGAGACCAATTAGCATATCCGAGCTGTTTAATAAAATAAATATTTAATACAAGTAGAGTTTAGTCTATATGTTATGGCACCACAATATTGATAAGGTTTGATGCAGAAAGTCATTTGACCTTTTGTAGTCTCAAGTCTTTATCCCTGTGATCCACTACCAAGTCTTGGCAACAACACTTGATGATGGGTTCTCACCATCAGTGTTCATCTTGTATTCTGCCTCTTCACATAGGTTTACTTTGTGTGTCCTGGCAATTCATCATGTGCTTTGTAAAATTAGTTTTGTTTATAAATGTATTTCTTATTAGCATTCTTCTTGATGGCTTCTTTTAAGTTGTAGTCAATGAGAAAATACTTAAAGGGCTAACTTACTTGAATCATCCAGTATATTTGAGATACTGTGGAACTCAAAAGTATAAAGTAGCCAACCAAAGTATGAAGTAGCCTAACAAGGGAAGGGATTAAGGAAGACTTTTTAGAGGAGGTAACTAAACTGAATCTTAAAAGTGGGAATCTGCCAGATGGAAAAGGGGTTGAAAGGCTCTGAAAGCCATGGGAACAACAAATAGAAAGGTAAGAGATGTCATATATGGGAGACTTTTACCAGTTTGACATAACTGGACTATAGAGTACTTGAGAGGGGGATAGAAGGGGAGATGAACCAAACAGCAAGATTAAGTATCTTTTTTATTTTATGATTGAGGTGGGTGGATGGAGTTGATAATAGATTTTAATGGGAAAATGATGTGATCATATATTTGTGTTTTAGAAAATAACATTGACATTAATGTCCCATTTTTAAACAATGGCTTTTTACATGCATTCTAGAAATCATCTTTGACCAAGATTCGTATGAGTATAAATTACGACAATTAGATACCAAAGAGGAACCCAGCACAGACATGTATATCAGAGAGACTTGGGGTTGAAGCCTATGCCCACCCCTTCTCAGCTATATGATAATGGAAAAATTATACCACATTTTGAAAAATATTAAAAAGAAAATTTTTTTTCTAGATCACAGAAGACTATGATAATTAAGAATTACAATTCATAAAAATTAATTAACATGTCATTGATACTCTGTATATTAGCCCCTATTTTAACATTATGGATCAATGCATAACACTATTGCTTGAAATGAAGAAAAATGTTTCAATTTGAAAATCTGTGGTTACTAAGCAACCTGTGGTTATTAGGTAACTGAGGCTAATATTGTGATGCATTTTTTTAAAACTGGCACAAGTCAAAATACACATTAATTGTTGGTGCATGTATTTTTTGTGACCTGTTGACCTTCTATGGGAAACTTAACACTCCTCTTAGTAAAAAACATTTTTTTAGCTTGTGAAGAGTTCAGTAGAGATCTCACCCTACCTGGGTACCAACTGAAAGTTGTTCTTTTGTTTTTTTAAACACATCTCATCATGACAAGATGGAACCACACGTTTAAGTTTCTGAAATGCTGTTTTTAATTTATCAATTAAATAATTTCCTTTTCATCGAACATTTTCAATTAAAGCCATGCTTAAACAGAATTCAATCTGTTACTCATGACAAAGTTGGGGGGGGGGACTAACTCAACAAAATCTAGTAAGCGCTTCCTTTCCTTACCAGCCAGTGCTCTGGAGCAGTTGCATTTTCTTGGAGCGTGTGGATGGTCATAGATAATAGATTATTGTTGGAACAAACACTATTGACATCCTGGGTTAGCATAAAACTAGTTCTAGAAATTGAGTATTTGTTTGCTTCATGTTAAAATTTAAGGTTTAAAAAAGCTGTGTATTTAAAAACTTATTAAAAATCATTTCACTCTCATATTCAAATCCCAGCTGCCTCTTAAACATGCAAAGAGAGTCATGAAATTACTTGAGATTCTGCAGAAGGAGAAGAGTAAACACGGAGACCTACTTAAAATGTCTAATTCTTCAGTGTCCAAATTTGCCTTCATGGATTCATTTTCCAGATTTCCCACTACTGTGTTAACCACGCTAATGCCATCCTGGGAAACACAGCGAAAGCAAATAAAAACTCCAATGAACTAAGGGTACATAGTAATTCCCTTAAGGTCCACCTGTCCTTCATTAACCCCACATTGCTCGTTCCCACCCCCAACTCAGGAAGCCCCTGTGGTAGCCAGAGCAGCACTGTTCCTGGAATGTGCCCGTTTCGTTCACCGCTGCAACCGTGGCAACTGGCCCGAGTGGATGAAAGGCCACCACGTGAATATCACCAAGAAAGGCCTGTCCAGGGGACGGTCACCCATCATGGGCAACAAGCGGAACCAGAAGCTGCAGTGGAACGCTGCCAAGCTCTTCTACCAATGGGGAGACGTGAGCTTTTGATTTTCTTCTATAAAAATTAGGCTGCTTGAGTGAAGTGAAGATGATATGTTTGCTTGTCTGTTTGGGAGACAATGTATTGAGTATCTGTTATGTGCCAGGCACTGAACAAAACATCTTAGGGGAAAAGAATCTTAATTCATTTAATGCACCCAATAAATGTAGGAAGTTAGACATTATTACTCTTCTGTCTCCTTCCCTGGTCCTCTACTTCCTTCCTGCTTGTAAATGCGTTTTCCCAGGATATCTTATGATTTCTTTCTGTATAATTTCCCCCAGGGCTACATTTATTCCTGTGCTTCTAACTGTTAACTGTGTGGCAGTGGCATAGACTTCTCTGTCCAGGACACTTCAGATCCCAGGCCAGCATTGCCAGTTGCACTCTGGAGGCGTTCACTTAATACTCCACCTGACCAAAATAACACTGTTCCTCCCATCTAAATACCCCCACAACTCTACCCTCTCCTAGCATTTCTATTATTATTAATGATTCCACCATCATCTAAAATGACAGCCTTTGAACAGGTTCCAAGCCTCCTTCCCTCATTGATTCCACCCCCTCCACATCACTAATGCCCCTTCAGGCTGGATGACTAAGACATTTTCCCATTCATTCTCCTCCCCACAGGAACAAATCCTACGCGCTGCTAGTAAAATGATCTCTGTAGGGCATAGCCCATCTAAAAGCAGAACATGCATATTTATCTCCCAGCCTCCAGACTTGCCCCTCTCATTCATTCTCCAAACTGCTGTCAGAGTGATTAGGCTAAAATGCAAATCAGATTGTGCTCCCTACCCACTTACAATGCTTCAGTGGCCCTCCCTTTCCCGTGGGATGGAACTCAAATTGCTTAGCCTGGCATCTCCGCTCTCCGCAACCTTCGTTCAAATCATACCAAGATTGTGGGTGATGAAGTCAAGTGAACTATTGTATCTAAAGAACATTTATCTCAATCCTTTGCATCTAAGGGACGTTCTATAATAATAAGTTATTACATTCATATTTGAAAGCAGGCTATGTGGTTTGTCTTTGAGTTTCCAGGCAACAAGCACAGCATCCCTCAAATGGGTGACAAGGTCCCCCCCGTCCCGGAACCTTTGGTTGTCCTTCAGAATGCAAAATGCAGTTCAGCTTCAAGAACTGCAAGATCTTCTCTCCTATTTCTAATGTTGATGTTGGGTACTCTGCCAAAAGAATAGTTAGTATTTCTTACTAATTCAGTGTATCATGGAGAGGGGAACAAAGTCTATAAAAAAGCCAGTAGGTGCATATATAATTGCAGATGTAAATAAAATTGCAGTACCAGAATTCTTGTCAACCTCCAAACTCATGAACATGAGAATGACATGCTCATAAAATAGCATAATCAGTAGTCTTCTGAGGAACAGTGACTTCTTATTTTTACTGCAACAAAACCTTCCATGAAAGACCACATACTCCCTTATATGAGACCTATAAAATAAGTGACCCATAGGTAAATGAATGTATTTTCACTGAGTAAATGTATATAACTATACAAAGGTATCATTCCAGTTCCTACAAGTCTTTAGTCTACATGACCTCGAAGGTGGCATCAACGGCTTCCATCTCTGGGTTTCCACATTGGAGACCACGGTGGCAGCAACACTATGGCAAACAGAGGAGGCTTGTGCTGGAAGAACTTCCATTCCTTGGTTGGCTGTGGCCTCTGTAATGCGAAAGCCTGCTTTGCAGTCTGGTATACTTGGTGCTGTTTCTTTTTTTTGCCTCTGTGGTAGGCAATTGGCATCCGATTGAATGAGCTGTGCCACGGGGAAAGTGAGAGCCCAGCCAACCTGCTGAGTCTCATTTATGACGAAGAGACCAAGAGGAGGCTGAGAAAGGAAGATGAGGAAGAAGACTTTTTAGATGACAGTAAGGAGACTCCCTTTACTACAAGAACCCCTGCTTGTAAGAACCTCTGCTTTGGGAGCACTTAATATTTCTCTCTCCTCTCATACTCTTACCACCTTGCCATGTCTCCCCACGGCGCCTCTCCCCCTATTCCCTGTGCATGGACGTAAAGCATATGCATAAAGCCACACACATGGCAGGGCAAGAACCAGAAAGAAGAGTCTATAGACGGGAGCAGAGAGTTGCAGGCCATGTGGACCTTCCATTGTTTTGTAGTCTCTGACTCCTATTAGTATACAAAGATTAGTATTAGGCCTCTCTGAGAAAATTAAGTTGTGGAATATTACTGTCCCAGAAGAGGTTTGGTCAGATTTTGTGTTTTATTATTGCTTTTGGAGATTTAAAAAAAATAAAAGTTATACCAAAGGAAATTGAGCATGACATACTTCCTAAATCACTAATATATTGTAATATTTAATCCAAGTATATGGTATCATTTAACATGAAATTGTAATATCAAAGGATTCAGACTGTTAAAACTACGAATGTCTTCTGTACTGTAGTTATTTGTTAAAATTATAATAGACAATTGAATCTCTATGAGACCACCTAAGTACCATTTACAGTGTGTTATACCTGGTATATTATCTTTTCTGTAAACTCATAAATTACTCAGTCCTTGTTCATTGTAACAGAATATTTGAGATGATAGTTATGAGAGACCTTGAACTAAGGCCAAGCTCATTGTGTACAGGACTGATAAGAAGAATCTAGATGAAAACCTCAGAAGTAAAAGAACAGATCCATAAGTTTATACTGAATATCCAGTGTTTAATTATTTTTAGAAAACCATTGCACATCCAGGGAACTTCTAGAGTCATGTAGCCTCCATCAAACATAAGGTTGGAATGTCTGGTTTCATTCCACTTTCAGGTCAATACATAGCTCATCTTGCATTTAAAAGATAATTATGGTACAAACACATATCGGTCTAGAAATTCTAAAGGAGTTTGTCTCATTTTTAAAAAGAGGCATTATCACCCACCACATACTACCTCTGGAGAGAAAATAATGGTTTTCCTGAGGAAACAATAGCCAGATATCTTCAGAAAGACCATAATTTCCTCCTACTGTCAATATAAACTGTGAAGTATATATTCTATTCAATTAAGAAAGCCTAATGGGAAATATTTTAGAGATATTTTTAAGAATGTTGATATGCAAGGATATTGTTCACTCAATGACTTGATTCATTCAAAATAGATAACTTCTTTTATGAGAGACAGAACTTTCCATGGCTTTGGTCTTCTTTTCTGAACACTGATAAGTAATCAATATATTTCTGCTTGTTTTGTGATGGTATGTATGTGAGACTTTTAAATCCTGAGAATTTAAAAAGCCTCTGTGGTATAAACTTGGCCATTATCTGCCTTTAGAGAAAAATTCACTACTTGATCTATGGTGGATGCAATGTTTCACTCATTCAAAGACCAGTCTGCTTTAGAGCAAAGGAGAATATTTGCATACTTCTAGTATAGCTATACCTTAATATGACAGGCTAAATTGTATATGCTGGATGATAGAGGTGATCAAGGGTGCCTTATGTCTGCTGCAGAAATATATCTGGGCTAGAACTGAAACAACTTCACTGGCCTCAGAACATCAAGAGGGATGTCTCTCATGAAATGAATCCGCAGAATTTTTGTAGTTTCAAATCTAGTTCACTGCCATGTATACAGTCTAAATCTGCTTGAACAGTGATGTGAAAATCTTGCAAAACTGCTTTCCCACTCCTGTTTTCATTAAGAGGCTTTCTAGTTTAGTCGAGCTGCATTCATTGCTCTATGAGGTGGTAAGAATAATTTGGTTCTTGAATGCCATTTTAATACTCAGGCACTCATTATAGAGTGACAAAATGGAAAAAGAGAGGGGCCTGTTTATGCAAAGATTACGGTAAAGGGAATAGGTAAATTGAACATTTATAGGTAACATTCTCATATGCACTTTCATTTTGAACATGTTTAGGTACCGTTCTCATATGCAATTTGATTTTACACATGTGTAGCTATATTCATTAAACTGTGCCTCTCTGTATTTTAGTTTGTTTACTTATGAAAGAGCTCTTTCATTCCATAGGTACTGTGAACCCCTCTAAATGCGGCTGCCCCTTTGCTTTGAAGATGGCAGCATGCCAGCTTCTCCTGGAGATTACCACCTTCCTCCGAGAGACCTTTTCTTGCCTGCCCAGACCACGCACTGAGCCTCTGGTGGTAAGAAAAGCATGCGTGTCAATAATCAGGCTACTTGGTGAGACTAAGACATGTGACTTGGTTTTGAGTATCCTTGTTTTCCTCAAATGCCCAATGGCCAAATGTGTCATATAATTCAAAATTCAACCAAGGGATTTTCATATATAGAAATAAAATTTCTTTCCTCTATTAATAAAAAAGTAACTCTCAAGTTGACCTTGAAATCACAGAATATAGCATCTCCAGGTAAAATGTTTGACTAATCACTATCAGTAATGCTAGAATGTCTAAGAACATGTGGGTTCCTTCATGCTGCAAGCTGTGAGGGTTTTCTGGCCAGCATGTTTTAGAAATCTCTGACAGATTTTTTTTTTCATACTAGCTGCTAATAAATCCACATAGAAATGTGCTTCCAATGAGTTTTCTCATTGAAATTATGGATAAAAAGATTTCTTTTTGGCATCTAAATATTCCCAAACCTATATTCTATTCCTGAAGTATTTCTTATGGATGGGCAGGAAAAGATATGCATACACACACACACAGACACACACACACATTCTTACCATCAGGGCCTGATTTGTTTAACAGAAGATAAAAACACCATGTAAGAGCAAGAGCCTTCACAGAGTGTATGGGACAGGGACACATCTCAGAGCCATTTTTTTTGGCCCATAGTTCTCTAATAAGCACTGAATTTCCAGTGATTCTTTCAATAGAGGCATCATCAGGCCAGAGCCAAGGAACTGGACAAGTTCTTTTTTTGCTTTACACAAGGTTTAAACTACTCACTCAGGAAAAGTGTTACACCAACAGTCTATGTGCTTTCATTTAAGTGAATTTTACAATCCACCAGCTCCCCTATTTTTTTAACCAAATGCAGCATTAGCAAGGCCATACACTAATCCTGGTGGGGCCTAAAGAATGTGTGCTGGGATTCCTGAGCAGTGCCCCTCCCTCTGCTCTTCCAGTGTTTGCAAAGCCTGTTTCCTTTCACTCTAAACATAAAGTAGATATTTTCAAGTTGGAAACATGTATGGGTGAAATATATACTTTTAAGAGAAACATACCCACATTTGGAATGTGAAACTATCCAAATGATGATTTGGATATTGAAAAAAGCAGTTCCTCCTACTACTCTTATTTAATTTTATATTAACCTGGGCCTCTAATTTTCTGAATTGTTAACTTTACTATTATGTTGAAGCTCCTCTATAAAATCAAATCAAGGCCACCACTTAACACATGTGTGTAGTCTAAAATCCAGTATGATAAAATGTCTGTAAGAATCTGTCAGTATTATCCTATCAACATTCTAATTATACCAGTCTTCATAAAAACACAGAAATGTATTCACTTCTAAGTTTTCATATTTTTATTGGCCACTATTTTGATCTATTGAAATTTTAAAAGAGAATCTTAAAGTTTGACTCAGTTATTTTTGTTTTCCCATTCAACTCTATAAAGCTATAGTTTAATGACCCTTATTATTATAACAAATTTATTTTTTTAATCAGTCACATCTTTTAAAAATTACTGTATAACCAACTTGCAGACTAGTAGGAAATGCCAAGAAATTAAGCTAAAACAGAGCTTGCAGTCATTCAGTCAATGAGACGAAAGTTTTCACTGCTCTATTGCCTTTAACAGGGGCTCAGAAATCTTTTATTCATTACATTAGGATTTTCACTTCAAGTGTAGGTTTATATATTTTGTGGAGATGTGACCTTTATAAGATAAATGAGAAAGAAACTGTTGAATTCTAAACTACTATAGAAAAAGCAATGAGTGCCATAAAACTATTTTACCAACACAGATGCTGAAAATGCTTGAAATTGCTTTTTTAAGAAATTGTATTAAATAGCGAATCTATCAGGCTCAGCATAAATACCATCAAAATGAAATATTCTAAAGTTTTAACAAAACATTTGCTGCAAGGGTATTTATAGATCTTCATAGTGTTTTATTAGTTTGGTAACATTTTTTAAAAATTTATCTTTATTGTTGAAAGTATTACAAGTGTCTCATTTTTTTCTCTCCAATTGACCCCCTCCACCTCGCTCCCACCCTCTCCTAGGCCTTCACCCCATTATTGACTGTGTCCATGGATTATGCATATATGTGTATAACTTCTTTGGTTAATCTCTTCCCACCCCTTCCCCCTTCTCTCTGAAATATGATCATCTGTTGTATGCGTCAATGTCTCTGGATCTATTTAGTTCATCACATTATTTTGTTCATTGGCTTCTTCTTAAAGAAGACCCTTCAACATTTCCTGTAGTGCTGGTTTGGTGGTGAACTCCTTTACCTTTTCTTTGTCTGAGAAGTTCTTTATCTGACCTTCAATTCTAAATGATAGCTTTGCTGGGTAGAGCAATCTTGGTTGTAGTTCCATGTTTTTCATCACTTTGAATATTTCTTACCACTCCCTTCTGGCCTACAAAGTTTCTCTCGAGAAATCAGCTGACAGTCCTATGGGTGTTCCCTTGTAGGTAACTAATTGCTTTTCTCTTGCTGCTTTTAAGATTCATTGTCTTTTTTTTTTTTAATATATCTTTATTGATTTCAGAAAGAGGAAAGGAGAGGGAGACAGACAGAAACATCAATGATGAGAGTCATTGATTGGCTGCAGCCCGCAACCCGGGCATATGCCCTGACCGGGAATGAACACCGATTGCCTGGATCCTAGGTCGACGCTCAACCACTGAGCCATGCCCGCTGCGCTCGTTCTTTGTCTTAAACTTTGTCATTTTAATTATGATGTGTCTTGCTGTGGGCCTCTTTGGGTTCCTCTTGTTTGGGACCCTCTGTGCTTCCTGGACTTGTAAGTCTATTTCTTTCCCCAAGTAGGGAAAGTTTTCTGTAATTATTTTTTCAAATAGGTTTTCAATTTCTTGGTCTCTTTCTTCCCTTTCTGGCAGCCCAATAATACTAATGTTGGGCCTCTTGAAGTTGTCCCAGAGGCTCCGTACACTATCTTCATATTTCTGGATTCTTTTTTCTTTTTGCTCTTCTGGTTGGGTGTTTTTTGTTTCCTCATGTTCCAAATTGCTGACTTGATTCTCAGCATCCTCTACTCTACTGTTGATTCCCTGTAAATTATTCTTCATTTCAGTTCATGTAGCCTTCATTTCAGATTGGTACTTTATTATGTCATTAATTTTCTGTTATTTTCGTCATACTCATACTAATATCCTTGAGCATCCTTATAACCATAATTCTGAACTCTGTATCTGTTAGCTTGCTTGGGTCTATTTCATTTAGTTTCTCTTCTAGAGATTTCTTCTGTTCTTTCCTTTGTGCCATGTTTCTTTGCCTCCACATTTTGGCAGCTTCCGGTGTTTGTTTCTATGAATTAGGTAGAGCTGCTATGAAATTTGTAGAGTGGCTTTGTGTAGTAGGTGTCCTGTAGGG